AGTTACAAGGAAACGAGAGCGGGGGTCGAGCCAAACCTTGGAAAAATGGTGGAGCCAAACCTTAGAAAAAAAAACCGCCCAGTCACGGGTGGTGGGGATGGGGGTGGGGGTGGGGGTGGAGGGGGTGGTGGTTGAGCCTGTAGCAACACCAGCAGTATTCTTGTCAATAGTACTCACCCCACACGAAGTATAGACGCCCCAATCCCAGAAATATGCGGTCATACAGTACCATAAGAATATGCTAGGGCTGTTTCGAGGGGAATGTTTGTTATTAGAGGGTGTAGGGGGTATTGCTATGAGTAGAAAGGCCGCCGAAGCAGATTCAGAGGAATATTGCGCAGGATTGGGATCATTGCGTTTTCTTCTTTCCTAAGTAGGCATGTTGGCATCCCATTTTGTACTTGCAACGGCAACAAGAAATTTGTGTAGCTTACATTTTGAGCAGTGCGAGTGAGGGTTCAGATATGCATTGCTTTTACTTGTCCCTGGGCCTCATGTTGCATGAACATGCAAACGCAGTGAATGTCTATGTAAGATTGCAATGTGTCTGTTGTGAGGGAATTCCGCGCATTTGAGTCTTTTTGCGTGGGGGTCTTCGCGCTCGAGCCTCTCAGCAGCAGTTGGAGCCATCCCTGCTGCTCTCCATGTTTTTTCGCATAGGCTGGAGCTCTGGGGGAGGGGCAACCAGACGTTTGCTGAAGCCAGCTTTCATGCGAAGAGCTGAGCCTAGGTACATTGTGAGGGTGTGCTCCGCGCCATTTACAAGATCCGAACTTTTGCATTATGAACAGTTTCTGGAGTCCGTCACCGACAACCAGGTCCTGCGCATGAGGGGATGAGTGAACGCAACTGCAAATCACGCCTACATGTAGCTTATTTGGATGAGCGAGCCTAACATCCACATAGCAGCAGGACCAAGGTCGTTGAGTGTCCTGGTCCTAGCGACAGATCATGCCCTGTGCAGGCAAATTTTAGTCCATCTCGCTGCCTTCGTCTCTTGGGGTTTGTCGTGCAGCCGATGAATTTGATAGATCTTTTTGACACTCGGCCCGACAAAATTGGAATCTGATGACTTTTTGCTTCGGGCAAGAATATTTGCAGCCGTATATATTTCCTGTGACATGCAAGGTGATCATACCCTTCGTCGTCGAGTCTTCCTTGATGATCACGACAGCAAACTTCACCGTTCTGCGAGTGCTGCGCCTGACACGACTATTCCGGCTGGTGAAGCTAGGCAAGTCCTTCGAGGTACTGCAGATTATTGGCAGGGTGTTCCACAAGTCCATCGCCATGTTCTGGGTGTTTGCCGTAAACCTGTCTCTGGCCCTTTGCTTCTCTGCTGCGACGATATACTTTGTGGAGGGAGGCGAGTGGGATGAGGACGCACAGACTTACATACGAACTGGCCATGATGGGCAAAAGTCAGTGACACCTTTCCAGAGTATTCCGCATTCGTTCTGGTGGGTCTTCGTCACCTTCACCACAGTTGGCCCCAAGCTTAGTCATGGCTGTGGTGAGGCCACAAGTGAAAGCAGGTGTGTTTTGGTTGGCTTCGTTTGCTGTCCGGTCAGCTGTAGTGAGGTGACAGGGCATTGCAGGGCTGCGGCTAAGGATATGGTGATGTCGTGCCCGAGACTTTCTTGGGGAAACTGATCGGGGCAAGCAGCATGCTAGTTGGCATTTTCGTCCTTGCGCTGCCCATCAGCGTCATCTCGACAACCTTTGGAGAGGTGTGGCACGAATGGAAGGAAGAGCTGCGGCTTGAGGCTCAGTCAAGAGAGGAGGATCTGAGGAGTGTCGAGCTTGCGCTTCAAATTATCGAGAACCGCACCCACATGGTTGTCGAGATCTATGATCACTCAGATCGGTACCCCCCAGAGTTTTTGGGCCAAGTGGCTTGGAAGTCTCTTCCGCTGGACTCAAAGGAGACAGTTGACTGTCCTGATCAGTCTTTCCCGATCAAATCGAGCCTTAGCTTGCATAGGCATGGCCTTTGGCTTCACACAGGCCATGAAGACCTCACTTGTTGGTATGCCAATGCTAAGAGGAACTCAGGCTTAGAAATCCAAGACAGACCTGCAGGAGCATCCCAAACAAAATGAGCCGCTGTACTGCTTCTTGAGCAGCCGCATTCTGATAAGTTGTTGTTTGCCGCAGGTTCTCCGTCTGCGATTGATTGCTTTTAGAATGTGAGGCATTGAGAACAGCACGTGGGAACACAAACAGACACCATGTGGGTGGTCGTCAAAATTATGGTCCCTTTCTGGGTACCCTACATATTAGGTGCCGTATTATAATAGGGATCCAAAAAGGACCAGCAACCACCCATGTGAAGTAAACGTCATCAACGGGAGCCGTGGCTTTGAGTCACCCGTAAAAAAGAGGGGCAAAGCAGGACTCGGTGCTGATTGAATGGGGGTTTAGGGTTAAGGGTTTAGGGATATTCTTTCTGACTGTGTGCGAGCCCAGATGCACAAAAAGGGTTTAGGGATATTGTGAGTGTAGTGTAGAATCGGTCTCCTGGCTCCAGAATCTGTTCCAAACAATCCCAGTATACTCCCAAGGCAACTTTATAGTCTCCATGTATCCATGTATTCCTGATACATTCTTACTCTGAACCCTGTGTATATATATATATATTCACATGTATATATATATGACTGCACTTATTCCCTACTGACCCTAAACCCTCTGTATACATATACACACCCTTATTCCCAACTACCCCCTGGTCCCTTCAACGCGACCAGCGGATCTCAGAAGCATGAACACAGGAAGCATGTCCTGGCTGTCTCTCAAAATTGGGTACCCTTGGGGACCCCATCCTTATACGTATATGCAGATATGACATGTGTTTGACATTTCTTTAGCTGTGATTTTGAGACTTCGCCTGCCAAGGAGCTCGGAGAAGGGGACAGCGGTGCCCTGTCTGCAGCCAGCGCGCTGAAGCTGTTGTGTTCGAGCCAGATGTTCGATTCCGGCTTGTGCATGAAGCCATCATGTTGTAGTCTTGGTTGGCGTGGGGCAGTTGAGGACGTCTCCCTCGGAGAGCTGGTTATAGGTTACACTTGGACGCCTTCAGATGAGAAGGATCTCTCACGATATTCTGGCACGCTGGAGGCGTAGCCCCTAGCCAATGCTGCGTTAGCCTGCTTGACGCAGCCCTCTGGAATCCCGGCTTCCCCACAGCTCAGAATTTTCACAACTGACCTTTTGATCCATTGCTCAGCACTCTTGGGTGATTTGCAAACCCTACAGTACGTCCCGAAATATCCCTATATATACCCCATATACTCCCGTACATCCCCTAGACATCCTTATAGGCCTTATATATCCCCACATACATAAATATCCATATATACATATACTTATACATATGTAGGTGTAGAATTATATACTCATACATACATACATATTAAAATGTAGGTATAACTGCGTTTGTGCGGCAGGTCCGGGTTCGGAGCGCCGAAGGCTTGGCTCGCTGAAGATGAGTTCGAATAGATTGAGATGAGTTATAGTCTAAACTCCTTAAACGGGGCGATATAGGTGATTTTATAGGGTTTTAGGAAATTCTAGGGTCTACACTCCCTAAAGGGGGTCTTATGGGGTATTTTATATGGGAGTATTGGGGATACTAGAAGTTTTTGAGCTATAGCTCATATGGTGCTTTCCCCAAAAAGAGGGACCGACCCCAGTACAGATCACAAGATACTATAATCCTCGTTTCAGGGACTTCTTAATTTTGGGAACCCCCCATATAGGTCTACTTATTCTGTGATGGCCGCGCTCTGCTCCCGTATCCTGTTGCATTGCTGCTAGCTAACTCGTCAGATGTTGGAGACGTTGGGGTCAGGTGTCGTGCATCAGGTTCGTCATCTAAGCCCCCTGGCCGAAGGACTGCTGCCAAGCGACTGGAAGAAGCATGGCAAGCGAAACGTGTACGCTCTTCTTCGTTGCTGGCCCAAGCCACCCGAGTCTCAAAGGCATCCTGGCTTGCAAAGCATGCCGTCTGTCAAAGCTGCCTTTAATTCTGTACAATAAGCGATGTTATTCATGGATATATCTATACATATATATCGGGATATATATATATATACATATATGGTCACCCCCTCCCCCAAGATCCATATTGAATATATCTATCGAGATATATATATATATGTATATATGAGCAGCTTCTGGAACCTTCGCAACCTTCGTAGATCTGCGGAGCCTTTTGAGCTTGCCTTCCAGCAAGTGCAAATTGAACACAATTGGAACGACTAAATAGTCTAAACTCCTTAGGGTTTAGGGTTTAGGGTTTAGGTTTAGGGTTTAGGGTTTAGGGTTTAGGTTTAGGGTTTAGGGTTTAGGTCCTAGTAGCCCCCTTTAGAATTCCTATAGTAGTTCCCTATATAATCCCCGATAGTATCCCCCTATTGAACACAAGTGGAACTAAGGCTGGGACAAAGCTTTGACATGACGTACTACACCCGCATAGCGACACCTGGCCGGGAACACTTGGGGGTTTCCCAAAATTAGGGTTTCGGGTTTAGGGTTTAAGGTTTAGGGTGGGTCCCCTTGAAACGGGGTATAGGATATGAATGATCATAGTATTTTCGGTTCTATATTTGGGTCCCCCTCTTCGGGGAAGCCGCCCCTTTTTTGGGAAGGCTAGAGATGATAGTCAGATCTCACCCGAAGTAGCCCTAAACCCTAAACCCTAGACCCCTAAAGCCCTAAACCCCTAACCCCTAACCTCTAAACCCTAAACCCTAAACCCCTAGACCCTAGACCCTAAACCCCTAAACCCCTAAACCTTAAGCTCAGGGATGCAACTTTGGATCCAGAATGGGACGAGACCTTCGAATTTGATTTTGATTGGCCGTGCGACTGGAGACCTCAGAAGGAGCAGCCGCCCCAACCGCGCACTAGCACCTTAGTTTGGAAGATGCCGGGTTGAGTAGGAACATTAGGGTTAGATTGGGATCAATGGAAAAGAAAATGGAAGCTATAGGGATAATAGGGTGTCTATATATATATATATATGGGTGGTTGTCAAAATTATGGTCCCTTTTTGGATACCCTAAATTCTAGGTGCCGTAATATAATAGGGATCCAAAAAAGGGACCATCATTTTGACAACCACCCATATGTATATATATATATATGTGGTCACCCTTCCCCCAAGAACTACCCAGAGCATGAAAACACTGTAAATAGCAGAGTTTGCTAGCATTTTTGCAATATCCGATTTTGATGTTATTTTAGGATGCTGTTGGACTTATGAAAGAATAGAATTTATCAAACAATTAAAATACCCAAATACAAGAATACAAAAAAACACCAAAAAACAAAAATCCAAAAAACACACACAAAACTTTTGAGGAAGATTGGGTGCCAGTCATTTTTGTTTTGTTTTGATTTTTCGGTTTTGGTTTAAATGTAATGTATTAGTTATTCTCGCAGCATTAGGCTCGACACGGTAAACCAAAAACCAAAAAACAAAAAACACAACACACACAAACAAAAACAACAACCACAACTTTTGACTGAAACCAAATTCTCATCAAACTTTTTTTTTCTTTTCTTTTTTTGTTTTGTTTTTGATTTTTGGATTTTTTTGTTTGATTTTTGATTTTGTGATTGTATGATTCTTTCTTCTTTTTTTTAGTTTTTGCTTAACAACGCTATTTTTGATATTTTCCCTGCTCTGGATAGTTCCGAGAGAGTGGGTTGCCTTCACTCATTAATTATATATCCTTCTTATACTAGTCTATGCTATGATCAGGCATGTTTTTACTATTTCTGTGTTGCTAGCATCATTTTATTTGCATAAATTCTTGCGTGCCTTTCACTTATACAGTTTATTTATTCAAGATATTCTTCCTTGTAACCCTACATAAGGTCTGTTGCCTCCTCCCAAAAGGTGTAATAAGAACAGACTATATATCTTGGCAATATTGAGGATACTAAAACTAATTTGACTACCAATACTACAACTAAAACTTAGAATGTGCCAAAACCAATATTAATACTAATGCTAGTAAAAGGCGAATGCTAATATGAAACCTCAAGTCAAAACTAAAACGACTAATACGTGATATTGATATCCGGCTTTATAAAACGGTTTGATCCTGATACTAATGCTAATAATGCGATTAATACAACACATCATTATTTTTTCAATATTCGATACTGATCTACAAGATATATACCAATACGAATATTCATACTCATTCTATCTAAGCATCTAAATGCTGATATTAGTGTTCATATGCTAACAAGAAGCAATAGTAGCTTTTATGATACACTGGCATTTAAAGTACTCCTATACCAATGGGTTTTGCTATATGCTAACAATGATATTAATATGTATTCTAGTACTTCTACTAGCTACAATACATGTTTTTGCTACCATATGTTTCGAAGATAGAAACTTGATATTATTATGAACATGTGGTACTAACACGGATAATGTTATAGAGATTCGCACTAAAATTTCATATGACTACTATTGCTATTAATACAAATA